CCTCCGGAAGGGAGTGACACCTCCCGAGGCCGAGCTCCTGATCAAGCTCCCAGATTTGTGACAGGCAGCCATTTCCAACAGTGGGAAACAGTATCCAGCAGTAATTCCGACAGCACCTCCTCACACTGATGGATATTCACATGGTTGTTCTCACTACACTGCTGGTTCTGTGCCTGTCCCCGCACCGGCAGCGCTGCAGCCCGGCTACGCGCCTGCTCGTTGTTCCGTTTCTAAAACGCACATGGCTGCTTAACGATTGGAAAATTACGACTAGATAAATAGGCTGCTGCTGGCTGGTTAATGAGAATTTTTGACTAAATGCCTCATCTAATTCCGAGAGGCAGGTTAGTGCAGGGAGGGGAAACTATTTCTTTTAATGAGCAAAACAGTTGTTGCTTTTTTTTTTCTTTAAGTCATGTGGTTGATCTCTCTAGAACAAATATTTGAAACTCTGAAAGGACGATTTTGGGGTTAAGTCTGCCTCCTGATGCCCAGCTGAAAACTTGTCTCAATTTAGCCACGTTTTTAAGGCTTTGAAAAATTAGTTTGGAAGTGCTTTCGAAAGAGACTTCAGATGTGTCGCAGCTCGGTTGCCTGCAGGCTCTGTCTGCGCAGAGCATCTTTTAGCTTGAAAATAAGGAAGAATTTTTCTAAATTTGTCACGCCTTGGCAGGCTATCATGGCTTTAGATCAAGGTAAGCGAGTTGACAAGAGGAGGCTTTCCCAGATTGGTGTGGTGTGCTGGAGGAAACTTCAGGTACAAAGGAGAAAAAAGGAGGGTGAGTGAGGGGAATAATTTAATGAAAAGATGTGGAGAAGAGAAGGAAAGCGTAAGGATTTCCTGAGCAGAGGATCTAGGGCAGTAAGCAGAAGTAGAGTGGAACTTGAGGAGGAAGCTGAAGATGGGGAATCATGGCTTTGTGGTCCTGATGGTCAGCTTTGAAAGAGAAGAACGAAGGCAGGCTGGAGAAAACGGGGCGGAAAGGGGTCGGAAAGAGCAGACTGGGCAGAGAGGGCATTAGCCTGCTTTGGGAGGTGCCCACTATGATCTGGCCGCGATCCAGAGACTGGATTTTGGAGGGTTATTCCCGTCCCTGGATATCTGTGACGCGCTCGTGTCCGGTTTCTGGCAGTGGTGTGTGTGGGCACAGCTGCCCTGACGAGCTGCTGTCGCGGGCTGGTGCCAGGTCTGCGTGGCGGAGAGACCGCAGCCCGACCGTGACCCGCTGGTGTTTTTCCGATAAGCACATCGGAGAATCTTGCTTCCCGTCCGAAGACCACAGGAAGTTGCACGAAAACAGCGTTATTTTGAATCAGTAGCCAAGCAACTCAGCAGCCAGGAAATGCTGCGAGTGGGTTCCTCTTACTGCAGAGCACCATCATGCAGTTAAAGACCTGTTTTTTCCTGCAGGACCCCCACCTCACCAGTGTACAGAACAAACTGGCCAGATGAGCATTCACTCAGTATTTTTTTTTTTTCCCTTCTCCACTCGACACGTGGCTCTTGACCTGCCTTATCTTCTGGTGCTACCCAGTGAGTTCCCTTGTTCCTGCTCCGAGGATGGATGTCTTGCAATCCCTTTTTGTGGCGGTGCTCACGTAGGTACTAGCTTTTGTGCACAGATCTTTTGGGGGAATTTTGCTTCAATTCTCCTACAAGCAGGACTGAAACTTCAGCGTTAACAGGCTTTACATAAGCGGCCTATTTGAGATGACTGAATTTCAGCTGGAAAACCAGTGTTGAGCCGTGTTTCAAGCCCAGTTCTAGCTGGCTGAGTGCTGCTCCTCGCTTCAGATCAGATCTCGGGGCGTCAACTGAGACTTCCAAAAGGAGGTGGGGAGAAAAAATAAACAACATACGAGCTATTGCTTATGAAAACCAAGTGGCATCAAGAACAAAAGTGCTATGGCAGAGCACCAAGACTTTCCAGGCAGCGTGGAATCGTTCTGAAAAACATTTCTGCCTATTTCCTGCTTTGTTGGGCACTTTCTCCTGGTGTGGGCAGGGATCCTGCCCGTCGGAGAGCTGCCCCGGCAGGCAGGAGGGCGTGCGGAAGGAGGCGAGGCGCCCGTAATAACGCGTGTCGTAATCCATACGCAACGGGCAGGGGGAAGCTCCCAGAGATCACCACTGGGAACACTAATCCAAATGATCTGTCCTGCCATCATGTTTTCACATGCTTTCTTCTTATTTTTGAAGAACAGTTGAGTAACTCTTGGTCTAAACCGGGGACGTTCAAGCGCTGCTGTAAACGCTCAGCGTCTTCTCCGGGCACCATCTGATAAGGTCCCGTTGGCCACTGCCCTGCTCTTTTTGGGGTGATGTTTCAACCATCTGTATTTTTATCTTGCTTTATTGCAACTTCCTGTTTTTCTTCACCTCTGACGTGCGCAGACAGCGCCGTGGAGACGCGTTTCGGCCCTCTGCACGCCGTTCTCGGTGTAATCGCTGCGAAGGGCAAAAAAAAAGCCTGTTTGGTGGAGCAGCGGTGCGGATGCGAAGGCACGTTGCTGGCTTGCACATCTTCAGTTACCTCTACCTGATACGTGAACGCTTTAAAATATTTCAGTTGCTGGTTTTGCTCCTTTTTCTGAAGTTCCTGTAGACACCAGCCTGCGGATGCTGTAGTTAATTATCTGTGGTCTCTCAGGCAATTAGCATAGTTTCTGATCAACCGTTCTCTATTCTGGCATATCTTGTCTTGTTCCCAAGTGGCAGTTTTGGCCTGAATTCCCTGATGTGATGCTAGATAAAACCTAGATTATTTCTATGTGGTTTTTTTTTTCCCCCTCCTCTTTGCTTTCAAGCCCTGGCTTGCAGGGCTTTGTCCTCCTGTTTGTATCCTGCTGCTTTCTTGTGATTCCCCTCGAGTTGTACCACCTTGGGATCACGGCTCGAGTTTCCAAAGCGAGCTTTTTCACCCGTGGATCTGTCTCAGCTGGCCCAGATGAGCGTTCAGATCAATGAAGGTAGCACACAACATTCCCTTTTCCTGGAGATCCTGCTCCGTCACCTTGTTTTCTGCTTTGCTCAATCCAGCTAAACAGAGGGGGGGAGAGGAGGCAGGCTTCTGTGAAAGAAACACATTTCTTAAACACAGGTTTCACCAGATCTTCCCGTTTTCTGCAGGAAGCCTCAGCTCTAGGTGATTAATTCTGTATGAGCTAGGCAGGAAGAACACAGTTTGTGTTTTCAGGCTGGCCCAGGTGCTTGCCATGGTGTTTCTTGAAAGCTTGATGTTTGGTGGCTGCAAATACTGACCCGCCTGGGTCCCAAACCTGTGTCTTTCCACCCTCATCTCCTCTCCCTGCCTGGCTTTTGTTTGCTGCTGTGCCTTGGGGCTGGTGACAGCCCCTCCTTCCCTGCCTGCCGGAGCTCGGGCTGCGGAGAGCTGTTCATAATAAATGCTTTGTGTGAATCCTGCCGAGCTCTCAGAGCCGTTTTTGGCCTTGAAAGCATTCTTTCCAGTGCTCAAAGGAAACACGGCTGAATTGTTAGGAAAATACCATGCCCAGGGTTCATGTGAGCGTGTGGAGGAGGGGAGCTCTGTTATCTTCACCACCTGAAAGCTGTCCACTTCAGAACATCCCTCTCCTGCAGCCAGTGTTTCTTAGAGCGGTCCGAGTGTGAGACGGGACGGCGCTGAGCGATCTGGAACCACAGATCCTTGTGCACGCAGGTGTTGAACCAGTGCCAAGCTGGCACGGGATGCCCTGGGAAGCCATGGAGGGTCACTGAGACAAACACAAGTTATGCTGTAGGCTTTTGCTCAGCTCTTTTTTTGTACTCAACCCCCGTTTTAAGAGTGAAAAAAGAAGGGAAACAAAACTAAACTCTTTTTTTTTTTTTGCAAGCTTGCATTTGCACGGCGGTGTCGAAGCATGAGAAATAGTTGGCTCTGTAAACACGAGGAGGCGAGGTGGGGAACGAGTGTTGCAACCTCAGCGTCTGAAGGAAGCCCGGTGGCAAAAGAGATTGTGAAAAGGGATTCAGACTGCATGGGGTGTAGGAAGATTCAGTAAGGTGTATGTTTTCAGTTCCCGAAACAGTATTTGTGGGGAACATCTTCAGCCTTTCAGACAGGCTGTGGCAAGCTGTGGGTTATGGGTTGCTCGTAACCATGAGTTGCAGACTGTGTTTTTCCACTTTTTTTTTTTGAGTTCCACTAAATCTGTAGAGGGAAACAAGTGGCAGTGTGCGCTGGCTGGGCTCTGCAGCCTGGTTTTCTTGGGTGGGCAGGCTGCTCCCTCTGCCCGTGAAGTCGACTGCCTCCGGCAAGGCGAGGATGGCTGGAGGACACTACGTGGACACGTGCTGGGGCGACTCTTCTGCTGCCAAGAAATCCCCTGTGCTGGATCTTCCAACTGCTTAGGCATTTCCATGGGATTTGCTCTTTGAGTCTCTCTGGAATTAATCTGGCAAAGCTTATTTTTTTTTAAGGCAGCTTGCAGATAGAGCACTGCTTGATCTGATACACCTTGATCCCCTGTGATGGACGTGTGAGCATTCCAGCGGTGCTTTGCGATTCATTTGGTGGGACTTGCCTGACTCCGTTTGCTCCTCACTGGCTGCCTAAAAAGCCCTAAGTAGGAATTATACCCCTTTCACTGCCCAAACTTCTGATGCTGAAAGCTGGCAATTAGGAGCAGATGCTTTACAGCTCCAGCGTGCACGTTTGTCACTTCAGCTGTGTGATGTGTGTCAAAGCCAAGCTGTTAGGAGTTGCTGGGTCGGTTCTTAGGTAGCACTTCCATCAGCTCTTGAACCACTGTATCCCAGTTAAACTCATCCTGGTGGGGAAGAGGGGTGTGTGTGGGTGGGGGGAAACCTGGGCATGTTATTTCCTCAGCAGAAATATTTCTTAACAGAAGCCTAATGAAGGTAGGTACCTTCCAAATTCTGTTTTACTAAGCTGAAACTAAAGCCAGTCCCAAGTGTGAGTTTTGGCCGCTGTGTTTCTGGTCGAAGAGCAGTTCCCAAACCTGTCATCCCACTGAACATGGGAGAGGAACGAGGGGAGTTGGCCCTTTTTGGGCTAAAACTGCTTGCAGATAGCAGCTCTTTGAGGAAAAGCCCCGAGGTGCCGGGCGAGCACGGGCAGGAGGCTGGCAGGTAGGCTGGATTCTTCTGGGGTTTGGAAAATAGGTCAGTGCTCAGCAAATATGCTGGGAGTCCTGGCCAGAGGAGATGCTGAAGCTGATAGAGGAGGGAGATGTTGCTCAGTGTGTTGCCTGCTCGGTGATGAAGGCGAGTGGAAGTTTGGGGCTCCTGGCACAGCTTTCAGGTGCCTGGGAAAAAGCAATCCCTGGCTGACAAGGGATCTGCGATAACCATGTTGGACTGGGAGGGCAGGGTTGTTTACACCAGTGTAGAGCCGTTGTGCCACTAATCTCCCAGTTACACGGCAGTGTATTGATTAAAAACCATTCCTGATAAAGAGGTGGCTGGTCCCTTCCCAACAGAGCTGGAGCGATCCTCGTCTCCTTTGCGGAAGCAGGAGGCTGTTGCCTTCCCTTTAACAGGAAAAATGAGGGGTTGCTGGCTGGAGTGGGATTTCTGACACTGCTGGGAATGATGTTCTGGCACTGCTGGGAATGATGTGCACCTCTGACTGATGTGCCCAAGAGCTGAAATTCCTTTGAATCTGCTGCAGCTGGAATTAGTTGGGGTCTCGATGGTCTTGTTGCCTTGAGGCTGCAGAGAAAGCAACTCCAGGAAACGGGGGGGCTGGTGAGCGGTGCCTTGGCTGTTTCTGAAGGAGGTGGTTGAACCTGCCTGTTTTGGGGGTAGTTCTTGACACTGAATTCCTTCCTCCTGGTTCCTTTGACGGATCCTTGCCCTTTAAAAGTGAGCCGCTGGATTTATTGCCTTGTGCTTTGATGCGAAAGACCTTGACTGCTTCGAATCGCCCCAGGAGATACCAGTCTTGGCATGACTTCTGCAGCAGCAGTACTCCTTGTGCCAGCTTCGTATCGGGCAGCTGAGCTCCTCTACCCAGCACACGCTGCAAGGTCGTGTGGGGAGGGGGTTAAAACCAAAAAAAACAACCACAAAATCGACCCTGGGGTAGACCCAAGGGGGTTTGTTTGCTGCACGCTCGAGGTCTGTACTGTGTGAAGATAATGAATAAATTCCATGATGACTTTCTTCTGCAGTTTATAAAAGATTCATGGCGAGCAAGCAGACTAAAAAAAGCCCGTCTTGTGTTGTCTCTTCTGGTTTAGTTACCTAAATGACTTGGATAGAATATCCCAGCCGACCTATATTCCGACTCAGCAGGATGTTCTGCGGACCAGAGTTAAAACTACAGGCATCGTGGAAACTCACTTCACCTTCAAGGACCTGTACTTCAAGTAAGTGGAGGGCAGCGCTCGTCCCCGTGGACCGCGGGGACTTGTTCAGCGGTGGTAGGTCCCACACCTGCGCTGCGAAACGTCTCGCCCTGTTTTAACTGTCCTCCTTCCCTCCGTTACGCTCCCTCTTTACTGGCACTGCTCACTGGAGATACTGGTTTGACCTTTATTTGCCTTCTTCTGTTCTTTTCAGCTGCTTTTATGTTGGAATTGCAGACACAGGTACTGCCTGCTTGTTTACAGGATCAAAAAAAAAAAAAATACTAAAAGGACACTGACTCTTGGATTTTGACTTTGAATTTAACCCCTTCCTTTGAAGCGGGAGGGAAGAGCTCTCCCCGCAGTCCCAGTCTTGGCTCTGGGCTGCATGGTGTTCTCCACGAAGCTCTGGATGACTGTGCTGGCTAACACTTGCCACGGAGCAGGAACGGGGCATGCAGAAAGTGTGCTGGGGACCGGCTGCCTTCGCGTGACGCTGCAGAGGACGGGACTTGCCTGTCCTCTCTGCCTTCTAAACTCGGTCCCCGCAGGCTCAGGTATCCAGCCTGGTCGTGGCAGTGTCCCTTTACGTATCGCTGATCGAGCTCCCTCTAACCTCCGTAGCGGCTGCTAGCCCGTGGCTTAGCTCTCCTCATCTGCTCGTTAGAAAATCCTCGCTTTGGATCCCGAGCCCGCTCCTGACAAACAGCCTGGAGCGTTCCTGTCCCGTAACGTGGCTGTAGGATAATGCAGTGCCTGTATCCTGGGCGAGTTCCCTTCGTCCCTGGTGATGTTTTCGAGTCTGTGTTGCTCAAAGCGTTTAAATAAGCATCTGTTTGCTTATCTTTAGCTTGTGTTTGAAACCAGTTTGAAAGAGCTGTAGCAAAAATCCAAGCGTTGCTTATAACCCCTGAATTGTTTGCACGCTTTTTTGGGAGAACAGGAGTGTGTTGGCTTCTGAACTGTCATAACTTACGAACTGTTTGAACAAGAACACCTCAACACTTTGCATCACCGAGCTGTTTAACGTGGCTCCTGGTTCGTCCAGGGAAAAACTTGTCTGGTGTCGTGATGTGTTAGGATTAGCGTTCCAGCTGCAGCGTGTGCTGCTCTTTGAAAAATCATCCTGTCTGACGAAGGCAAGAGTGAGCTGGAGGTAGCAGGGGTGTTCCATTTAATCGTTGTAACCCTTCTTCTCAAGTGAAACGCCTCCCCGATGCCCAGAGGGGGAATTGCTCCTTCCCAGCCTGCCTGGAGTCATTGATCATGTGCAGAGCTCGAGACACGAGGTGTCTCCTCTCGGAGGGATTTGCTCCACAAAGGAAAGCATTAATACATCTTAAACCCCGAAGCTGCCATCGTTCCCGCGACGGAAGCCTTGATGTTAAATCCCAGCCGTTAATAACGGGCCGAGGGAGCCTTAGTGTAGCTGTGACTCGAATTTGGATCAGCTTGGCGACGCCGAGCCCTCGAGGATGCTGTTCCTTTCCGGCTGTCTCCGTGCTAACAGCGGAGAGCGATGGCAAACGGTGCAATCTGAGTAAAGAGCCTGTATCCTTGCAGAGGTTTTTGTCATTCCTTTGTGGCCCACAGGGATGGCTTACCTCAAACAGGAGATGGGAGTTTGCCGAGTGGCACTTCTGGCTGCCTTGGCTGGCATCATTATCTTGCGCTGCTTTTGGCCCGGCCTGGGTCTGCCTGTTTGCCCTGGTAACAAATCAATGTTTATGATTTTCGTAGCTCTTGGATATTGACTTGTATCTGGCTTGATTTAATTAAGTCACAATCCATCAGGACATCCTGGGCAATCCTGCTTCTCATCAAAATCTTTTGGTGAGCAGGGTGTTGGAACTGCCCAAGACACTTGCATCTTTCTTTTTTTTATCAGACAGAAATTCTCTAACCTCTGCAGCCTTTAAACTTCAGTAACTCTCGGAATATTTTTTTTTAATACACAAAACTGTGTCTTAACCCCATTAATTCTTTTTTCTGGGTCCCAGTAGTAGCACACGGGCAGTATGTTCCAGATAATCCGTTGTCAGACGCAGTGTCAATTAACTGGAAGAGCTGACTGAGTAGGTGTTCAGAGTCCAGTCAAGCAGAGGGATTGTTGCTAAGGAAATAGGAGACAGAGAACAAAATAAGTATGCCCTGGTGAATTGGCAGCCTTCTGGATGGCCACGTAGGTAACATCTAG